AATCATCCTCACCATGAGTGCATGTGGGCAGAATGTTGGAACTGTGTTTGCTCCAGCATCCCCAAGGTACAGGGGACTCTGCTATGAGGCTGTACCTGTTAATTTAAACTCAAAGGCAGCATGTCAGGCATACACATACATGTGTGCACCTGAGTCGTGGGAATAGTTTATTTTTCTTTTGCATTAGGAAAATGTGAATTATTTGGTCTTCCCGGTAATGTTAAGAATGATATTGTCTATCCGTTGAAAAGCATGTGATCTTTTAGGAATAAAACAAGTAAGACAAGAAGTCTCAGTTGATGGATATAGACAAGACAGTATTCATATTTATATATGTATTATATAATTCAGAATACTCTTGGAGTGTAACGCTGTAACCCAGGAGGTAGCACAGGGTTTGGTTTGGTTTTGGCTTTGTTGAGAGAAATATGGTGGTATGTTCCTCTAATGTAAGAAAAAGTGACACACATCCTTTTCTTCCTGTTCCAAGACTCTGAAATCTCAGAAGAATTCATGTGTAAGTTACAGAATCCTTTTGTTAGTCTTTTGGATTTTGTTTGTCTGTTTGTTTAATTTAGATTTCACAGGGATTTTATGCAGCCCTCTCTGCTGTGAACAGGGAGGAAAATAAAATATTGCTGTGCTAGAATTATCTCCCTCCTGCACCCCACACCCCCATGAAACATTACCAACGCAGGGATCCAGCATTCATTTCTGTCATTTTAGGGTGGAGAATAAAAGCAGACACACAGAGAAATTGTATCTGTTCCTCTCTCCCCTTTCTCGTGCCGCTGACACATTGTTTGTGAAAACGTGAGGAGGGAAATCATATGCAAAGAGTGTGGCCTGTGAACAGATCCCATCTGACATCAGCATCACACAGGCTGTTCTCTGCAAGACAAGGAGCTCAACGGAGCAACACGAGGACTCTCCCATGTCTCCCTCTTGATCCTCATCGCTGGCAACTCGCTCTTGCTGCTGTGATTCTTGATGGCTGGTTTTCCACCACTTAAAAAGCAGGATGAGCTCCCTTAGGGTCATAACAGTGCCTGGCAAATCCTTCTGTAAAGGTAATTTAATGGCTGGATGGTGGAAGGTACATTGGTCACGAGTGGATCGCAGTCTCTTCCGAGGAGCTGTTAGTTTTATTTGTGGACAGTTGGGAGTAGTTTCTCAGTTTACAGGAGCCTACGTGTCTTCCATTCCTGTACCTCCTGGCTCTGAGCAGATGGAGGGAATAGAGCCCAAATGTGAGGCTCCTCCATGTCAGAATCAGAAGGAATCAGGAAATGGTCAAAGTCAGTGAGAGGGAGAGGCAGGAGCAGAGAGGAAGGAGCAGCACAACTGATCTCTGGGGAAACCTGCCAGATACTGCTTAAAAAGGGAGGAAGAAAGGGAATATCATTCATGTTTTCGCTGCCCACTGTGGGAATTGTACTTAGCCCTACAGTTCTCTCCCAAAACTGTAATTCGCTCAACTTGCTCTTTGGATTTTAAATCAGTGATCTGCTGAAAACTGAAAATAGTTCATTCAATTTGGGCCAGCATTGAATTTTTACAGATTTTTATTTTTTTCAATTTTTCAGAATGTTGTGGGAAACAAACAAACAAACAAGGCAACAAATAATGGGTGGGGTTTGCGTTTGTTCTTTATTTCTTTTTTTTTTCCCTTATGATGTTGATGTTCACTGGCAAAGATGGGAAGGGATAGAAAGCCAAATAAAGAGGGGAAAAAAAAAAACCTTGAAAGAGGAACTCAAATTTTTCAGCTCCAAAAGCCAGTTAGTGAAATAAAAAAGGAAGAGTTTTCTACAAACACTTACCTTTGGAAAAAGCATTGAACAGTTTTCAACCCACTGTTCAATAGCAGAAATAGCTTTTATAATAGGCTGCACACTGAAATAATGAAGTTATGAAACAGTTTTCCTCATTCCAAGGAAGAAGCATGTTTGCAGGATTTTAAGGCCAGTTCCTCCACTGATTATTTGAGTATCTGCTGTGCTTTGCATATTTTCCATTTGATATGTACTGTGCTCTGTTCTGTGGGCTGGTGTATTAATAGGACTGGATCTGAAGCACTTTCATGAATCATGTTGCAAGCTACATTTAGCTATTCCTAGCTATTACAATGCCTAAAGTTTTGAGGCAATCAAATGACATGGTAGGGGAGGCCAGGAGAAAGAATTAGGGCAGGAGATTGAAAGACTTGAATCCTTAGGAAATCACAAGATGGGTATCTGTTACTCACCTGCACGTTAGTTCTGGCAGTCTGTATTTATAGTGTGTGTACTTCTTACAAGAGCATGCAGTGATAGGACAAAGGGGAATGGTTTTAAAGTAAAAAAAGGAGAGATTTAGATTCACTGTTAGGAAGAAGTTCTTTATTCAGATAGTGGTAAGGCACTGCCACAGGTTGCCCAGAGAAGCTGTGGCTGCCCCATCCCTGAAAGTGTCCAAGGCCAGGTTGGACAGAGCTTGGAGCAACCTAGGATGGTGGAAAGTGTCCCTGCCATGGCAGGGGGTTGGAACGAGACAGTGTTTAAGGTCCCTTCCAACCCAAACTATTTTGTGATTCTATGATTTACTTCACAGTAACATTTTTTGGAATTAATGATTGTTAATGTTAGAGGCAATAAATCATTTAGTATTATTAATGTGTTACATTTGTTTTTCATTGTTATTGAAACGTCCCCTGAGAGGAGTGCAGTGAGGAAGACATTGACAGGCAGAGAAGATCCCTTTAGATGTAAAGCTGTGGGAAAAGAAAGAACCTTGAGCTGGATGAAACAGCAAAGCGAGACTTCTGAGCTCTGCCCTAAGGGAATGACTTTGTGTTTGTCTCAGGGGTGACCAGTCACTTTTCAATGTTATTCACGGGGCTGGATGCTCTTGCTTGTCCACAGTGGAGTTGTTTTATGGATGTTGTGGAGCTCTGTGCCAAGAGCCAGCGATGTGCTTTGGTCCCTCAGCGCTGCACTGGGGGGCAGCTGAGCAGACAGGCACCCTCACGGATTTCACTGTGGCAGGAACAGTGACAGCAACTCCCTGGAGAGCAGGAGAGTGCAGGTGCTTTGCTGCAGGATGAGACCAGCTGGCCCTTCAGTGTGAAGGAAGCTGAAGGACAACAGACAAGGAAGAGGGAACAAGAAGAGGGAAGGCAAGGCCCTAAATGGAGAAACAGCAGCAAACATCTGCTTCTGGAGCTACCAATGTAATGATTTTGTCTACTCTGCTTCAGGCTGGAAAGCAGTTATATCACAAGATCTGAATGTTTTATTCTGAAAAACAGATCCTCGCCTTCATAGTGGTTAACAGTGGTTCTGAGCAAGTGAGAATAGCAATTATGCCATAAATTAGCTTGATATCCAGCTCCTTTACACACCAGTTGCAGTGGCAAGCTGTGGCACCTCTATTTGTGTTCCAGCCTCTTTGTTTATTTACTTATGCCAACTGATACCTTTTCCCCCCTGCTATAAAAACCTCTTTAGTAAACTCCCAATTTATTGATAAAAGCACAATAGTCTTCCTCAAGCTAAACCTCCCAGAACAGCTTCATCCTCTTACAGCTCTGAAGCACCTCGAGGTTAGAGGTGCTGAATTCTGCTGGAGTTTTTCCAAAAGCTCCACTCACTTCAGCTTTTTTAAGGTCTTCATCATGCTGTCTCCAGCTATGTTTTGGCCCTTGTAGTTATTGATTGCTTTCCTTCCAAATGAGGTTGATGTTAGTAAACATATTTTTTATTAATTATGTTTATATTCTTTTCTTCATCGAGTGTTTCAAATCATTGTCTAGTGATGGCACTGTTGATCATTATCACTGAGCTATCCTGGACTCCTGATTGATGTTTACTGATTCCCACATTTGTTTGTCATTAGCTCATGACACTCTTCGTTTTAAGAAGCATTCAGAAGTTCAGTAGGACACCTTAATCCTCTGAAAAGGAACTAAAAATGTATATGACTTGCTAAAAAAGGTGAGTATAAGCTGCATGCAACACATTACTGAAGATGTTATTTTCTTTCCAAATTTTGGTGTGCCAAAATAAACCCCCCATCATTTATACATGGTGACTTATTTTTACTTGCTCTCAGCACCAGCCGTGATGTCACTGCTACGGTTATCTCACCAGTCCTCCTGAGCTTTGCTTTGTTGGTGAAATATTCTCCCCAAAATCACAGGTGTAGCCCTACATAAAACCAACCTTAAACCTGTCTTGAAGCTTCTAAGGTCAAAGAATCTTGTGTATACAAGGAAAAAACCCCGAATAATCCCTGCCAGAATCAGTCAAATGTCAATCAACTTAGAAGATGCTTTTGAGCTCCTCTGAGATTTATCCAGCTTTTCCCTCTTTAACAGTCCCACTGGGAGCTAACCTAGAAGAGGTGGAATTATGCACCTCCCAAAATCACCTATGGTTACAGGCAGCACAAGATGTGTTCATTGCTTGTAAAATGCTCCATAAGATCAGAATTATCAATCATTCTTGTCAATTAACAAGTGATTTGCTACAACCCATCAGCAGTCCCCAAACAGCCTCTGTAGGAGGGACTCTGCTGACTCTGTATCTTAGGTTTTTAGGACACATCCTTCAAAAATCAACATAGAATTGGAAAGAACAGGATCCGTGGAGCAGAAGATAATGTGCAATTATCTTTATGTGTATTTTATTATATATAAATTCTTTAAGGCCAAAAAAAATCCCCAACACATTTGCTGGTTACAAGATTCTGTAAATGTCGTATATGAGCACTGCCCTCTACTGCTCAGGGGCTTTCATTAAAGATCATTTAATTAAACAAACCCCAACCCTGTTTTTTGTAATGAAAATATTTGTATAGACTTGCCTGTAACAAAAAGAACTCTGGGTTTTTTATTAAAAGAAAAATCCTAATTTATAATTTTTTAGAAACAGAAACCACCTGTGTCCTTGTGTTTACACAGAGAACTGATATTTTGTCAAGCACACACTTTAGAATAAGCTTCATCTCTTAAGCAGAAATGTGGTAAATGAAAACAAGTTTTCAAGTAAATGCATCCTTCAAAACTACTCTGAAAATCTTCCATTCTGAATTGTGACCACAGGAAGGCAAAGGAATAGGAAGATTTCAAAATATGAAGATGCAATGGCAACAGAAGAGCGTTGATTCCCAAAGTAAAGGCAAGGCAATCTGTTCAACCTGTCTTGAGAAGATTCTTTTTGCTATTTATCTGTTAATTCTACACTACATTTGCTTGAGGAATGTAAGGTGCAAAACACACATGTGAGAGCAAGTTGGAAAAGATGCAGAAATACTGTTATTAGAGTCTCAGCAAAATAGGAGGATGGGAACCATTATATCATAGGAACCAAGATGCTGCACCTGGCACTCTACTAGGTTTTAACAGGATCCCAAGACTTAGGTGCTATTGTTATTATTTTCATGAAGGACCCAAAAAGTTATTTTCTGGAGAAAGTTTGACCTTATCTTTGTACCTTTCCCTGGTGCCCCCGCCCCCCACTTACTGAGATTGTTAACCAATAGGGAATTTCAGCCCAAACCCAACCAATAGGGGAAAACAAAGCATTAGAAATAGCCTCTGAGGCAGCTGAGTTCACTTCCACCAAGGAAGGGTTTCTGTCTCTTTGAGAGAGAATTTGGTGTTGTTTGGGAAGAGAGTTGTGTAGAGCGTGTGGAGTTAAGAGAATTTTAGTTCATGGAAGCTTTCTGGAGTTTTGTTCTTATGCTGCAGGTAAGATTGGTGTTTTCCTTGTTTTCAAATAAATTCATTTTCATTGTGCTAATTGCAAGGAATTGTTGATATGGGCTGTAATGTTGCTTTGGCTTTATGTGTAAGTAGTGGGTTGTGTGAGAATATCGCCTTTTATTGGTGTTGCAACTATTTTAACTGTTACCTTGGAGAGCCTTATTAGCCAAGTTAAGGAATTTTATGCAGAGCCTATAAATGTCTTTAGTGCAGGTAAATCATAACGGGGTTCTTAATAAGCAAAAGATAAATACATTTGTTCTCCAATATTGCATTTCTCGCTTATAAAAAAAAAAAAAAGGTGGAAGACAAAATTTGGTTTTGTTTTGCCATGAAACTTGCTCTGATATGTATTTCCTGAGTGGAAGTAGGCTGAGAACTTGTTCATCATGTAGGTGAAACCCAGCATTTGTTGTAGCTTAAGAGTTATAGCTTTCATTTTGTTAGGGCTCAGTGTGAGAGCAGCACTGGCTGCGGAGCTGTGCCTGATGAACAAGCCTCTCTGTTGTTTCTCTGTGTTCTGAGAGCAAAATCTGCTGTGCAGGCTTAAAAAACTGTGCTCCTCAGTTTGCTTAGCTTGCAAATTCTGCTGGGAATCAGGGGCTAATGGCTTTGGGTTTTTATTTTCTGTATGGATTTTTCTCTATACCAGTGACATGGTTCTTGAGTAACCACTTTATTGTGTTAAACAAAGCACAGTTTCTGAAACTTTAGAGCTATTTCCTACGACTCTGCTTTCTGTCACTATGGAAGAAAATCCTAGTTGCTAATAAACTCTGTCTTCCTTGCTACCTTTCACTGTGAGATGTACATGGTTGAGCAGACTTGGTTTTGCTCTTAGAATCTCGTTAAGTGTGTAATACCTATGGAGGATGGGTTTGTTAACTCTGGCTGTGGTGACTAAAATGCCCTCTAAAGTTCACAGATGGCTTCCACCTGTATTTTAATCTGTGCCTGTTCCAGAGTGCATTGCTGTAGTTATCTTAATGTGCTGTACCAGCTTTGAAAACCCATAATTTTTTAGGCTGTGTATTTATATTTTTTTTGTTATATTTCCTTATATTTGCCTGTGTGACGTTTCAGGGTCTGTGTGCTTATAATGCCTAGCCCTGATAACCAGAAGATAGTTTCCTCTTTCTTGGGAGGAACTTACCTATTGAGTTAGGTGGTGAAGGGATCTTCAGGACAATAAATTTAAAAAAAAAAGGAGTGGACTGCACCTACCTGTTAATCATGCACACAGTGACTTCACTCCAAAGGAATTCCTTTGATGTAACTAGTTTAATTGTTCCTTATTTTCAATTGTGCCATTATAGGGCATTTTGAAAGTGTCCTTGCCAGCCATGGGCAAAGTATTGGAAGCAGTTGCTGAGTTGCAGTTCACAGAGGGAAGGGCTGTTACCTTAGGTAGAGTGAGGGCTTCAATAATCAGGCACTTGGGAACTCCTTTAATTTCACTTTTACTCTGGCACAGAACTAGCAAAGGCAAAAAATGAGAAAATCCTTGATTTTCTTAGAACAACGCCTCACAGAAACTGCACCTAATTATTTTAGGCTACCCCCTGGAGAAGCCCTTTTGTAGAGGTATTTCTAGATATTCACTGTTTAATTAGGACAATAAGGTTATGAAAAATCTCCTGATGTTTTGTGTAGTGTTTGACTGTAAACTGGAGATGAGGAGGCACTTCTTGTTTGGGTGTGGCTGTTCTCTGCTTTGTTATGGAGTGCCTGTTGAAATCTGCTTTTAGGAACAAAAAATTTTTAATGCTAGTTTGAGGGCTGAGCAAAATGACTGGGGATTTATCTCACAGATCAGATGCCCAAAGCTGGATTGGCTCAGCCTGGGAGGCAGCACAGGTTTTGCCCTCCCCTTCCACTCTCCGTTACATCTCTCCTGTAAATTGGCAGGGGCGGGGGGCTCTGAAAGTGCTGATCTCTTCTCACCAGCCACTAGTGAGGGCTCAGCAAAAGTTCAACAGCAAAGCACAGAACCACCAGATCTGTATTCTGGCTGCAATTCCGAAACGAGCTCAGCTTTGTCCAGACCAGGAGCTTTCCGGAATATGCACGGGGGATGAGGAACAAATAACTGCGGGGTGAGTGCTGCCTGTGACAGCTGGGAATGCAGCTGACTGCTCTGGGATATCTCTCCCCACACTCTTTCAGAACAGGGCCATGGGGGACGCAGCACCAGCAGAGGGGACCGAGCGGGGGGCTGGTTCTTCCCAACTCTTCGATCCCGGCATGAGGAGCGTGGCGAGAAGACTCAGGACTTTCCAGCGGTGGCCACGCAGCTCGCCCGTGTCCCCCCGAGACCTGGTCGAGGCTGGGTTCTTCTACGTGGGCCCCAGGGATGAAGTGCAGTGCTTCTGCTGCGGGGGTGTCCTGAAGGACTGGAGACCCGGGGACTGCCCCATAATAGAGCACCTCAATTTCTTCCCTTCCTGTAAATACATCTGCGGTGAGGACGTCGGGAACCAGGAGATGCTGTCTCTTCAGGAGATCTTTGACACTGTGGACGGGCAGTTCCTCAGTCTCTTGCAGGGGATAGTCAGTGAGGAGACAGCCCTGCCCAATGAACCAGAGTACCCCGAGATGGTCACGGAGGAGATGAGACTCTCTACCTTTCAGAACTGGCCGCAAAACTCCGACGTTCATCCAGAGCAGCTGGCCAGAGCAGGATTCTTTTACACAGGTAGGTGCCCTGGAGAGATGTTCTTAACTCCTATTTGAGTTAATTTTTGAAGGTTTCACTATGTTTTACTGCTTTTACAAATACTTGCAAGTATGTGTGTTGCAGTTAGAAACCACATCCTTCCTTCAGCATGTGCTGTTTCACTGGCTGCTTGTGCAGAATTTACTTCAACTCCTGTTTGAGTACTGAGGGGTCCACTAGGAAGTGAATTCCCTTGCCAGCAAGAGTGGAGAAAGTGGAGAAATGTGTTTTAAACAGATGTTTTACTGGCAGGAAAGTGCGTGCTTTAAGATCCATTGAACCTGTTTATGACTTGCACTTCTAAAAGGACTTGAGGAGCTTGCTTGGCATGTCATGTTTTATATAAACTGTCTTGCATGGAGGCCTTCTCAAAATCCCAAATCTGAGTGAAATCTGTAGGTAGTCAGCCCATCTGGCTGTCACTGCGGGTTGTTGCTCTAAGGACTCCAGATTTTTAATTCAGAAATAAGATACTAATTTTTGAGTAAAATAGGCAAATATTTCTTGTAATCACATGCATGTGAATATCAATATAACATTATTGTTTCACTTGGAGAAGGCTTTGCTGGTTAGGTAATAGGCTTGAAGAAATACTCCTCTCTGGAGGAGATATTTACACTGTTAATGCTCGACTGCAATTAAATATTGGGGGTAATCCTTCTGGTTTTTTGGAAGCTGATAATTTAGGGATACTTGTGTGTTACAAGTGTGATGACTTTGATATGAAGGAATCTATTTGGTTTTGCATGTTAAACTGAGACATGGAAGGAAGTCCCAGGCAGGTTCCACAAATTAAAGGTCCCTAAGCAGAAACAAACCTGCACACCCTGAACACTTAGAATCATTGTTGAAGAGCATCACAGACTTACTCTGGGGACTCATTAGGCACAGCAGTCTCACAAGGCACTCCCCAGCAGTCCCCTGACCTGGAGAACTCTGGAACTGAGCGCTGAGTGAAGCCAAACAGTGCTCTAACAAGAGTGCTTGGGAGATCATGTCTGTGACCCAAACTCACTGGCAGCCTCTACTGACATTGTTTCAGTGTCCTCAGGGTAGGGCACTTACCTGCAGTTCCTCTTAATGGTGTTTGGCTTTTCCCCTCTGTGACTTCTCTGAAGAGAAGCTCAGGGCAGCCAGGGGACCACCTTGTGGCAAGCTCTTATACCTGTGAGATGGAAACTGTGTACATTGTCTGCCTGTGCCTGCTGGTTATGGCAGATTGTGATTAATGAACACAGTGTGTTTATAGATATAACTAACTACAGTTCTGCTCTAAATAGAGGGAGGATTGGGTTAGGTATGTGTGTGTATGGGAGCTCAGGTGCTCACATTCATGCTGCCTGTTGGCTTGTGACCCAATTCTGGAATCATCTCAACCAGCTGCAGCTCTGGGAATTCAAACTGATTTCCAGCCCCTGCACAGTGCTGGTGAATTGTCACGTGTTCATCTGTTCTGTCAGCCTGTGTTTTGTGCTCAGTCCATTCCCCAGCTTCTCCTCCACGGTCAGTAGAGTGTCTCAGATATAAAATAACCTCTTGATATCCCTTTCAGGACGAGGTGATGTAGTGAGATGCTTCTACTGTGATGGAGGTGTGAGGAGCTGGTCGTTCGGAGATGATCCTTGGAGGGAACATGCCAAGTGGTATCCAGAGTAAGTCAGTCTGAGTTGACAAATGCCCTTCACAGCAAGGCCAAAAGATTGGTCATGCATTTTATACTGATGGGGTTTTTATTTTTTCCATAGGATAAAAATATTTAGAACCTCTCACCTTAAAAGCAAAATAAAATGTTCAAGCTCAGGTAGAATGGCACAGTTCAGACTTGAGATTTTCTAATTTGACCCAGAGTTCACCATCTAAGAGTTCAATTAAAGTCACTTTCTTTGACACCAAAGAACAGCTTGGTTACTACTCCTCTGAGGTACAAAAAGAAATTTATTGTAAACCTTGGCTTTCTTTAGCAGTTCTTATGGGTTTTTTTTCTGTGAATTGCTCTCTTATCACAGTTTCATGGTCTATTCCAAAGCATGTTACAACTGAGCTCATCTTGAGCCAAACATGAAGACTGAATTAAGGGGGAGGAATCATGAACCTCTTACTGTCAGCCTTTGTGCAGGAAGTGGGAGTGAGGAATGCCGTGATGCCCCATCTTTAATGAATATATAGCAGCTTGCTCATAACTCATAGCACCTTTTGCTTCTGAAATTCAAACTACTGCTGCTACTTTCACTTGAGAGACCCTGTACTAATATGTTTAAACTTTTCTACTTATAGGTGTGAATTTTTATTGCATTCAAAGGGGAGAGAATTTGTTAACAGTGTTCAGGAGACCTTTTCTACCACCCTGCTAGCTCCAGTGAGTTCTATTGTGTATTTTGTGTGCAGTAGATGGAGGTTTGTAGATGGGGGAGTTCTGAACACATGCTTCTCTTTTTATGTCACTTTTCAGAGACATTCCTGGGATCAGACTGAACAGGACTCCCCTCCTTCCCAAGGTCAGTGCTGTAATTACGTGGTGCTTCATCTTCTGTTGATAGTGGTGTGGTCTTGGTTCTACCACCCCACCTCAGCTACTGTGCCCTCTGTAGACATGGTGTTTGTGACATGTTTTGATATCCTACAAGCAGTTTCACTTTGTTTTTAGGGAAGTCTGTAGCTGAAGAAACAAATTTACTTGTTCTCGTGAGACCTGGTAGTCTAAGACCTGAGACACTTAGCTAGTCTGGATAATTGTGTGAGTTTTGAGTGTTTGCCTAATGTTCCTTTGACTTGTGCATGCTCTTGATGTTGTTGTCTGTCTGTAGAGTCTTCCACACTGCAATATTTTAAGCAAGCTTGTTAAGACACCAGAGAACAGCTAAAGGGTCTAGATGTTTGTGAAGGGGTTGATCCTGGGGATTATTCCCCTTCGTCAGTTCCTGGAAATTTAAGTAGGTGAAATTTGGCTCCCATGAGCATAAGCAAGACTTAAGTCTTTGAACAGGCTGCCAGCTGAATTTCTTATTTCTATTGTTACTGATGAATGGTAGAGCTAGACTGAGGTAGGAGACACTTCAATAGGATGTTCCACTTGATATTCATGAAAACAATTTTGAGGCTTCTGTTCTGGGATCTGAAAACAAAGATAAGGATTCTGGACTGAGGCCAAACAGCTCACTGATAGAGGGAGACTTAGTTTACTGGTACAGTAGAATAAACCATCCAAAATTAGTCCCTGGGCTTTTATGAAATTGCTTTTGATTAACTTGCTTGTGAGTTATGATTGGAAGTACAAACAGTAAATCTGGATGTTAGTCTAGCTATATATAGATAGCTTGAGGAGTGTTTAATTTTTATATAACAGCTTTAGGGAATGGCACACTTGGGCCAGAAAGTTCTGCCTTCTTGGTAAAGTATCTGCTCCCCTGCTTTACAGATCCTCTGAGCGCTTGGGAAGAGCTGGCTCATCCTTCTCAGGATCAGCGTAACATAGTGCACAATGTCCTGCAGATGGGCTTTGACCCCACTTGTGTGGCAAACCTGGTAGAGAATAAATTCAGGTTGACTGGGGCTTTCTACCTTTCTGAGTCTGAACTGATCTCAGAGCTGCTGCAGTCGGGCAGGGCAGGGAGCAGAGGTAGGCCTGGCTCCATACCTGCTCTGGGTTGGGTGGGTCACCTCTTCCTTCACCTTGAGCACTGCTGTGAGTGTCTTTCAGGTCTCTGCCTTCTCTCTTCCTAGACTGGAATTAAGAGGAGTAATGCCCCCCAGCCTGCCTTTCCTTGGCAGGCTGAACGATGGCATTCTGATTTAAAGAAACCTGGAGGAGCTGTGGTTACTGGGGTATCAGTGCTTATCTCTGCCTCCACCAGGCTCTGGTGTAGATATCCTCAGTGGTTCCTGCTGCCCTTAGATCTGCAGTAGCAGCTCCACAATGTGGAGACTTGTGCATAAATTCACGTCTGATCCAGACAGAAGTAGCTGTCTGAAGCAAAGCTTCTAAGATGGATAATTACTCCAAGCCTATTTAAAACTGGATCAATAAATTGATCAGAAACAGCCATACTACTTGTCTGGATGATATGTAGCTTCCTGAACTTACCTGTCTGTCTTGTGTTATCTGTTTTATGGAGTCTGTTTGAGTGAAGTTTACTTGAAGGTGCAGTTTCCAAAGCCCCCATCTCCATAGCGTGGTCTGACACTTCTGTAGAACACGGAAAAAGGAAGTCCACAAAACTGAAAATGGGATTAAATAGTAAGAATGAGCAGCTGATGGCTCTTGCTGTCTGATAGATAAACCAGCTTTGAGGAGAGAATGTGATGTGGACATGCCTTGATAGGGGGGTTCACTTAGACAGTGAGTGAAGCATCACAAAGAACATCAGCTGCACCAGGCTGAGCCTGTGAAATCAAGTGCAGAGTCAAGAGGTGTGTAACCAAAGGCTCCTGAGATCCAGGCTATTTCATCTTTTCACACAGCACTGTCTGGAGAGGGAGACAAGGGTAGCATTTAATACCATCTTCTTTCCTGGTTGCACAGATCCTGTTCGGAGGGAGGCTGGAACATCGAGAGAAGAAATGCAAACTGTGCAGCAAAAGGAATCAGGTGCTCTGGGCTGACAGTGGTGGTGGAATTGAGCTTAGACATAACCGGGATGAGTTTTAGAATAATGGCATCAGTAATTGTTACATTGATTTTTTTTTTCTTTTTTTTTTTTTAAATCCTGAAGGTGGGAGTGTGCTTGCTTGAGTGCTACCTGTCATTAGAAACCCTTATTCAGGAATTAGAGTTCCACTGTGAATCAGACTGTTTAAAAAAAAAAACAAAACAAACACCAAACAGTTTATTGGGATAATTTACATAGCACAGTACAGTGATGATGATCTCTGTCCCTGCTCGGTCCAGAATGTGCCTGAGGCACTTTTGCCATCTCCACAGCAGTCTCTGAAAAAAACCCAACAAATAAGTTGCAGTGTGACCTCCTAAGCTGTCAGGACTGGTACTCTGGAGCTGTGAGAATATTAACAGTTTGGGCTTTTTTTTTTTTTTTTTCCTTTTCTGGTAAAGATGAGTCTCAGCTGAGCACAGAAGAACAGCTCCGCCGCCTGCAAGAGGAAAGGATGTGCAAAGTGTGCCTGGACAGAGATGTGTCTGTTGTGTTTGTCCCTTGTGGCCACCTGGTAGCTTGTGGAGAATGTGCCCTCAATTTGAGGTTGTGTCCCATCTGCAGGGCTGTCATCCAGGGGAGCGTGAGGACTTTCATGTCCTGAGCCATGATGATGCACCCAAGGGGAAAGATAAGTCCATACAGCTCACTCATAACATAGCAGAGGAAGAAAATCACCGAATAGTTTGATTCTGGAGCAATCTTATTTACAGGATATCTTGTGTAAAACCTCACTAAATGTGCCTCAGTGTTTCTAGGAGGAGTTGCTGGTTTGCTGTACTACTGCTGTAGGACTGCTCCAGAAAATCTCTGCTGGGTTCTTTTGTCCTCCAAAGAGAGGCTTTTGTTGACAGAGACTCTCCTCCAAATTCCTGTGTTCTCAAATGAATCTTTGCTCTGTGTTGAAATCAAAGGCTGTTTTTAGTAGGCTCTCTGGTTCTTTCTCACACATTTAGCAGTCGTTTAGAGATTATTCTGCTGGGGCTTCCTTCAGTAAGTTTGAGTGAAAATGGGAGGTTTTTGTATACAAAATGCATTCCATTGAGGCAAGAACACTCATCAGCAATGTGTTGTGGGAGGGGGAGAATCTAACTTTCTTCTGAGCTCTTTCTTGTCCTTCCCCCCCCCCCCCTTTTGTTGAATTTTCAACAATTGATGAAAGGTTTCACTGATACTCAGATCTGCATAACTAAGTGGAAAAGCCTGGCTTGTAGCAGACTCTCCAGCCTCTTTACTCCCAGTTGCCCTCCTCAGGTCAAAGACACTTTGCTCGGGGTCACTATGGTCTCCTGGAAGCTTCTTATGGAGCTCTTCCCTGGCTGTTGGGTACTATCCTACTACAAGATGGAAACTTAGCTTTTTAGGACTTCTGTTTGCTGGCTAAAGTGGTGATTTTTATTTAAAATGGAATATTCTATCATTTAGCCAAAAAAGAGTGAGTTTTGTCCATGCTATTGCTTGTTAACTGAAGGGGAAAGGAAATATGTTTTTAAAAATAAACTGTACTTTTTCATGGAATAAAATTTTTCCTTTGTTTAACTTAGAGGTCTGAGTATCTGATTCTAGTACAATTCCCTCTGTGGTGGAGGGCTGTGGTGGTGTCCTCAAATGTTAGAGTGACATCAGGTCGTAGGTCACTTCTGTCCCTCAGTGCTATGTGGGCATGAGAAAAATAACTGTTCTGACCATGGAATTCACAAGACAACATGTGGGTCATGGAGTCATAGAATTGGGTTGGAAAGGACCTTAAAGACCATCTTGTTCCACCCCCACCTCAGACCAGAAGAAGAAGGAGGTAATAGTAGTGAGGTTCTTGGCAAAGATGAGGGGAATCACTAGTTGAGCAGTTTGAACCCTCCAACTCTTGGAGGAATTGATGGGTCTCTGCCAGACAGCAGCTTTCATAGAGAGGATTGTCACCAACATGCCAAATTAGGTGTTGTGTGGGTTCAAGATATCACTGGCTTTGTTTTGCCACTATAAATAACAGCAAAAGCTCACAGTTTAAATAGAAGTGCTAATCTGAGAAGGGAAAACAAAACCAGCTCTGTGCTGGAATAGTGTTATTTCCTCTTAAACTCAGCTCAGTGTGGCTTG